GAATCATCATTTGGGTTCACCCAATTTGAATACTCTTTTTCGCCATTGGGTGCAAAGAATCGTCGCTAGCAGCAACTAGAGCCAGAGGTTGAAGCTGCAACTCCAATCCTGCTGGTGTTGCCCAGAATTGCCGCTTAATTCTCTTTTCCCATAATTCATGAAAGAATCCCGCATCTCCGGCTCTTTTCTTGGCGTTCACGACTACCATACTATCAGTCAGCCGGAAAAACCTCCAATCCAATTACGAATTTACCGCTATCCCGGTGACCCTGTAACTCCACGCCCCATTCCTTCTTTCTCTTCAACCTCGCGTTTTCCACCCCTTTTGCCACCTCCGACACCTCTCGATGATCTTCTCCGGAGAATCTCTCCACGGCCAACCGGGCCGAGCTATACGATTCGTCGAACAGCCCGGAAAGGTCCAACCCGGAAGATAACGAGATTAGGTCAAAGGCGTTGAAACTCGTGGAACCTTGAATCACCTGATCATCCTTAATAACCTTGTCATCATTAAATTCAACAAAATCTTCCTCGTAAAACTTCCTCTCCTTGTACCCTTTCTTGAACCAAGGGTCTCGCTTGATCTCCTCAATAGTTATCCTAGTCGCGGGATTGGTGTCCAAAAGACGAGACAAAAACCGTTTGAGCTCGGATGACATCCATTTAGGACATCTATACTCGCCTTGGTAGATTTTCCTGTACATGGCCATCAGATTTGGATCGTTAAACGGCAAATAACCCACCGTCAAAACGTACAAAATCACCCCACAGGACCAAACGTCCACCTTAGCTCCGTCGTATCCTTTCTTGCTCAATATTTCGGGTGCTACATAAGCCGGGGTCCCGCAAAGCGTGTGCAGGAACCCATCTTCTCTTACCTGGTCCGTCACGGCACTAAGCCCAAAATCGGAAACCTTGAGATCGCCGTTCTCGTCGAGTAATAGATTCTCAGGCTTTAAATCCCGGTGGAAAACCCCGTAGAGATGGCAGTAACCGACGGCGGAGATCAGCTGCTGGAAATATTTACGGCCGAGATTTTCCGAGAAGCGGCCCTTGGAAATCTTCCCGAATAATTCGCCGCCTTTGACAAACTCCATGACAAAATAAATCTTGGTTTTGGTGGCGAGTACTTCATGGAGTCTAACGATGTTGGGGTGGCGCAGCCGGCGCATGATGGAGATTTCGCGCGTGATATTGGACATCAAGGTGGTGCTGGATACTTTCTTCTTGTTGATGACTTTGATGGCCACGCTTTGGCCATTTCTGACGTCCCTAGCGTGGTACACCTTTGCAAATGCGCCACAGCCCAGAAGTCGTCCGATTTCGTATTTGCCGAATAACGGAGGTTCCGATACGGCCGAAGCCGGAGGGACTTCCTCGATCTCCGGCATAGGGATGCCTGGGTGAGCCAGAGACCGGCTGGGAAAGATGTGTGATTTGGGAGGAGGTTATTAAGAAACGGAAGGAATCGCCAAAAATAGAAATAGAAGGAAGTAAAAATGGTGGAGATTTATATTGGGCAGCTGGCAGGGCTGCAGCTTCGGCTGGCTTTCTAGTTTGCTTTGTTGTCGTAGTTGGTTGTGGACCTTGCGCTTGCGGCTGGCGCGTTTAAGATCGTCCAAGTTTGAGAGAACAACCTCCGGAGAGTTTGAGTGGTCTCTATATATACGTCAATTTATTTTTCCTTTATTAGCTCGTAGTCGTATATATGGAAAATTGTTACTGCATGATTTGATTTTCCTTTCTATAAATGAAAGTCTTGTGCTGGAAAGTGGGAGCGGTATACATAAGAATACAAGTTGTCAATATCCTCCTTCTATCTTTATCTGATTGCGTGGAATATTAATTAGTTTTCCTTTGCTCGAGTCTGATGATTAAAGCACATTTGACCGAAAATGGTAAATGAGTTCTGTTGTTGTTTCCCTTTGTTTGAAAAATTGCTTTTACTTCTTTACCCAAATTACATAATATTATTGTGTAGATGCATTTTTGTTTTTAATAATTATATATTAAAATAAAAACATAAGTTGAAGCCACACCTTAGTAATAATCCTATTACGTATAACTCTAAAAAAAAAAAAAATCACTTCAAAACTCTTGCCATAATAGTCAAAAATGAATCAAGAACAAAATGGTACAAGAATCCCTTAAAAATAAAATGATAGATATATTCTTTCTTCTAACACCCTATCGAGCTTCCAGGATAGAAATCCTGTCGAATTATCATACTAAGTAGGAGATTATTTGAGATAAACTTTTTAAATATATATATATATATTGAAACACTTTTTTTATGTGGTGTATGTGAGATAAAAGACAGTTAAAAATATGTTTATAATAAAAGTAAATAATTTTGTACAAATAATTTGCTAACCAAACACACGCATTTTTAACTTGGGATATAATTTTGCTTCAACTAAATTCGTGTCGTGTGCATGTATGTGCGAATGTATATACACGCACGCGTACACACAGACATATATATATTAAATCTTTTGATCTATCAAAAAATCCTCTAAATTTAACCTGTAAGCTTTATAGATATTAAAATGCCAAATAAATGAATATATAAAATTAGTAATTGTACACTAACATAGAAAAAGAATGAAATCTAATATATATAGTTTTTTTTTTCTTGGGGAAAATAAAATAGCTCTTGATTTCAATCAGAAGTGGAAAATTGCGTAGTATATCACAAAGGAATGTCAACTCATCCGCTAGTAGCTAGTACCACCTCACTTTTTTTATAACTGACATTTAAGGTTTTACACATCAATTAAGAAAAGTTTTTTATTACTTAAATCTGTACACTACTTTCCTTTTGCACCCTCATTAATTGTCCAATTCACCCACATTTTCTCTCATTAGAGTACTAAATGGTGCTATTTTATTAGGTCAAAAGTAATGCAAACTAACTCCCACCAAACTAGAGTAGTAATTAAGAACCCTGTATTGGAAAAGAGAGATAAAAGGGTAAAATTGTGAAAAAATAATTAATACTGTATAGAAATAATAAAATGACAGATAAAAATATACTAGAGCAAATTTTTTAAACGTCAGTTATAAAAAAAAAGGGAGGGAGTACCTTTTTTCTTTTTTTGCATCAAAATGTTGAACATCAGACAAAACCTGAAGCTTCCGAGTAAGGATTGAGGGTACATAATTATTTTTTGCTTGACGTCATGGACCTTTTATCATTATTTTGTCATTTCGACTTTCAAAAGAGTTGAACTTCCTCTGCCGCTGCGGCAGGGAAAGTGGTGGCTGCTCGGAGTGCGATCTGAATTCTGAAGTCAAAAACTCGAAAATGGCCATTGGGATCGGTTACGGGCAGCAACACACGGTTGCCGCCAAAACCACACGCTGCTGATTGCGTCGGCAAGAAACAATAATAGAAGCTAAATTATGAATATGAAGCGTGATTGATTCATTCTACTTTTTAATCAACCACAAACAGCTTTCTAAAATGATTAAATTTTTTTTAATTACTATTATATGTCGCTATCCAAACCAAACTTCCAACCAATAATTGATTAATACAGCAACACACACGGCCAGTCCATCCCCTTTTTTTTCGGTGCTTGCGGTTCTTGCACGGCAGTACCGTACCAGCATAAAGTAAGTAAAAGCATTTGTGTGTATTGAATATTAACGTAGATTTTCTTTTTTCTTAAGCGGCGTGAACTGTGAAACGTGAAATTCGTGTTACGCGGTACTATTCCGTTCACGCGCAAGGAGACGTATAGAAATCAGAAACTTTTTGAGGGAAGAGCCAGATGATGGAGACCAAGTGAGGGGCTTACGCAAATTGCAAAGGAGTTTTCACATGAATTTCGAACGTGACAGAATGCTCGAGAGACCAGTGGACCATTTCCCTCCTCATCTTCATCTGTTAAAATCGAAGCAGCCCCCACCATCACTCGATCTCCATTTAAGGGCTTCACTATTATTGTCTTCTACGACTGCGATGGTAACTCAAATACTTGAGGTTTCTCAAGTTGTTGAAAGAACGACTGCGATGGTAACCGGAAAGCCCCGCCATTTTTCTGCGTGAGCGATCTTAGATTATGTTTTCAGAAGCCGATCGAATATCGATTCGATCGAATTCAGGGTCAGGGATTAATAAGTTTTGATCGGAGTTGAATCGGATGACGTCATGAATAAAAATTATTTAAAAATTAAAATATTATATATACAATATATAATAACATGTTAATATTAATAAAGATATATTCATATATATTTGATGTTTTAAATATATTTAACAAGAAAATATAAATAAATTAGAACAATCAAGTAGTAATTATATTATTTAATGAGCATTAACAAGTTTAAAATTAAAATTATGGATTTAATTGAAAAATAACACCAAACTTTAAGATAACATTTACAAAGTATGAAATATTTGAAGTATATTAGTAATTTTTAGCAACCTAGGGGTCAAAACATACTACTAAAAATATTTTGATCTTTCCCAAAAAAAAAAATAATTTTTGACCGGTTCATATTTTTCCAGTCAAATCGGGTCAACCCCACTTTTTGATCTAGTTTGACTGAGTTTTTGATTTTTCGATTTTTAGGATTAACTCGGACCAGATAATTGGCCGGCTCCCGATTCGAGCGGTCCAGTCTGATTTAAAAACACCCATACGAGAGAGAACCTGAAAATGATATGTTACACTTATTTCTGGCTATTTTTTTTCAATAAACAAAATAATATTCAGTAACTTGAAAATAAAAAAAATGTGGTAGTTATTCGTATGGATACTTTAGAGGCGACGAAGCTATTTGGTTTTCTGTGGTTTAGATTTTTTCAACAAACTTCAAAATTCAAATTTATTTTTTAAAATTTTGAATAAGCACAAACCCTAAAACTCTTCTTTTACAGTACTGTGTCATCATGTATTTAATCCAAGCGAAAGCATCCTCCGAGTCTGAGTTCCCGTAAATATAAAAGTTTCAAGACTTCTTTAGACATCGCCTTACCTTAAAATTCCAAATTTCTCCAATAGACAAACTCAAAAAATTCAATTATTAACATTAGGACACTGTTTTATACTCAAAAAAAAAAAAAAAATTTCAATTTTAACATTAGGACACTATTTTATAATCAAAGAGTGGTGGAGTTCCTACCTTAGAGCTCGACTGAGGGTGCGATACTTCTAATAATACTAGTAGAGTTGGAATGGTGCTATCCTATAATGAGGACGTCGTGTAGCGTCATCCTCCTCCGAATAAGCTAAATCTGCAAGTAGATATGTGATCGTTGGTTGTACTTGGATGATGCTACTCCAGTTGGAAGACACATGACATGATGCTCTAGCCGATGTCCTAAATGAAGCACCAGCAGGTTCAGGGCATGTACAACTTATTGCCGCATTTGCACCTCCAGGCTTCAGGGTAGTACTCGGTCGTCACCGGCGTTCCAGGGGGCACCGGGACATGGACCGGCCGACATGGTGTGCATCTACCGCACTTTGATATGCATCGAGGAGGTGATGAACCGGGACCGCCTAAAAGCTTCCTTCCCCCTGCATCCAGGGAATGCTTAATCTCCACTGCTCCATTCCTCTGCCCCAGCGTCTGCGCCTCCTGGATCTGAGTTCCGAAACTTTGTCAAAATCAGTATTAATACTCCACTTGTTATTCGTGCTAGTGGGATTTGTTATGCTACTACTATATTATGCGATTTCTGTTGGGTTGTTTGAAAAAAAAAAAAAGAGGCTGGTCGGACCATTCAGCGACGGAACCAGAAATAATTTGAGGGAGTGAAATACATACATACCTACATCATGAATAATTTTTTTTTTATATACTGCCAGTGTATGATTTTTTTTTTTTATACCAATAGTTTTAAATTATGTCACGTAATATGTATTAAAATTTAAAATTTAAATCATGTATATATGATATATTTCAAAGTTGTTAAGTGTAAAAAAATCACTACACTATCAACATATAAAAAATTAATCATACACGCACACACATATACATACATGCATATATATAAACTTTGGAGTTTTTCTAAAAATTGTTGGAGTGGGCAAATAGCTTAAAAGTTAAATGTACATGGGAGTTTTTGGGCTGAAAACAAGCGGATTTTGCAAACAACATTGATTCGACCTCTGTGGGTTTAAAAGTTGAGGCCTGCTATTGGAATCATGGGCTCAACGGTGACTCGCACAAGTACCACAAGCTTTTAGTTCCCACTTGGGAGAACAAAGAAACAGTTCAAGTGCATGAGCAATCGCACAACTACAAATGGCAAATGGCAACCGCGTAGGATATGTATATCCCATTGCCATGTCTTTGAATTTGCATAGGCTAACTATTATCTCTTTCAATTTTTTTTTTCTCTACTCTTTCGATTTCATCAGCTATGTACAGGCTACAGCAGCGTTTTATGAACACCTTCTTTCTCAGATTTCGAGTCTTCCAAAACACAATTGAGCAATAAAATTTCATCGCAATGGGTCGTAAAAGGCTAAATAGCAGGCTAAACAACCAAGTGGCTCAGCGCACCATAGGCCCAACCTACATACATCTAATATCGATGGTTTCCCACAAGTCACACCAGCCTAGAATTCAGAAATGCTATTTGGACCGATTCAAGGTTACTGTGCTGCTGCTGCTGTACCCCACGTCCACAATGAGATTTTTTTTTCACCTGGGGGTGTCCGGGCCTTACGACCCAACTAATTCCCTAAGGTCCGGGGAGAAGGCACCCAATCTGAATTCCGAGCGAGATACTCCTGAGACTCGAACCATGGTCGACATACCTTAAAGAGGGACATCAAATCACTCGAGTTACCCCCAGGAGGGGTCGACAATGGGATTCACTGCTGCCATTTATAACGCCTTTTTATTATTCATCTTAAAAAAGAAAACGTTTTACTATTATTGAGTCAATAAAATTCGTCAGTCAGTTAGGCCTAGAGACCACACAAAATATTACTCCTACTATTATTGTTCCGTCGGATTGGAAGATGAACTCAACGCAGATTGCACAGTTCTGAAGGCCAAATGAGAATTTTCATTTTCTGTAAGGATGGTAATTGAGACAGGGCCTCTTGCAGAACGAAACGATGAAAGGAGGAGGAGGAGGGCAGCGGCTACACTGAAATTCAGGCCGCTGTCAACCTCAAAATCAGTCAGCTGGCGGGCCAGGGATCACGAGGCGGAAGCAGAGAACATGGCTCCGTTGAATCCGCTGGTCAAGTTTCAACACAGAAGACCCTAGCTCCAGCCCACCGCCCCACATGCATTCCAAACACGACAAACGCCTAAAAAAAACACTCGGTACTACCTCATCATCCCTACATATCTTTTTCATTTTTACTACTATTATTGTTTTTTTTTTTTGTTATTAACGACACAGAGAGGAGGAATAGGATCTAAGAAACGGTGGTGAGAGAGGAGGGAGCAAAGAATTTTGAACCCCCTCTACTTTTTTAAACTTATAATTTTAGCTACTATAAATTAACCTATCTTCAACACAAATTGTTTCTCTTCCATAAACTAAGAATGTTTTTTGTAATGTGAACGTGCGTGTGAGATAGAAAGATAATTGAAAAGTTAAAAATAAAAATTGATTGAAAAGCATGCTTGTGATTATAAGAAAAATGATGTTAAAAAAAATATTGATATCCACTAATACCAGTTCTTAGAATTCGAGCCAAAAAAAAATATGCAGAAAAATTTTGGCATCCAAATCCAATAGTACTGGTACTTTAATTCTTTCAACAGTGATCAATGTGAAGGTACGTGGTGGATGGCCATAAAGGGCAAAAAGGGTGGCACTCCAACTTTATATGGTCAAGTCAAGCTGCACGAAGCGGAGCATAGACCAAGCAAGCTAGCACACTTTGAGTGAACGGGGATTTCCAGGAACAATTTATTGTTTGGCGATCCGAAGGGTCAGCCATTTAGCATCAAGGAAAACCTGGCTACATCCTAGACTCCATTTATACATTCGCTTCACATAGCTAGGTGTAATTCAGCTATCTAAATTATGGAGTCCTAATCCCCTGCAAGCTTCAACTTTCAGTTTCAGACGATGAGAATTCTTCTTCAGGTGAACCATTGTGCTCGGAGGAATTCATTTGATTCACAAGATTAACGACCCTCTTGCCCTGGCCCAAGAATTTGCAATTTACTTCCTTGATTTACTACTCCGGTGCAGTAAATCCATATTCAATTCTGATTCTGTAAAAATTTGTTATACCAATTGGGGACTGCCTGCCTACAATTCTCCGTTTGTTCATTGTCTAGACTCTAGTGCAAAGTAAATATTAGAGAGACAGTTAGCGCCACCCACCTGGAGCTGAAGTGAAAATCAGCTTTACTAGTCAGCAGGGACCTGGAACCTGGAGAGGAAGACAAAAGAACCAGCCAAGCCCATGAATTACATAGTTGCAGAGACTAAAGAAACCAATATCTCCCAAAAAAAAAAAAAAAAAATAAAATGGGAACACAGAAAGAATTCAGTTGTCAGTTACGGCAGGCACAATCATCATCCAAACCATCATCACATAAATTTTACAACAAAAATTCATGCAAATAATTGCATCGTTTGTAGGATTACTAATAAGGCTGATCCCTTACCTGGAGGAACATTCGGTGATGCTGGCAAGCATTGCAAGGAGTGATATAAGGGCGATGGAAACGAGGTACATAAGAAGCCTTGTGTTCGTCAACTTGAGACTATTCAGCTTCCAATACTCCATCTCTTTCATTTGAAGCAAGCCCAGAACGAAAAATCAAACTCGGATGGAGGTGAAGCAAGCAACAAGTGGAAGGAACTGAATCAAGATTAATTAATATCTTCCGAAGGCTAACCCTGTGCTGCCAATTGATCAGGCTCCGATTAATTTCTCCAGTCCCACCCCATGCAACAACTCTTACGCAGCAGAATCATTCCTATACAGCACAATTCAACTCTTCTGGTCACGTCAAGTCCCTTTCCTCCTGCAGACAAACTACTCTTCCCTTTGGGCCCTCTTCTTCTTAGTTTGCAAAGGTTTCAGGTCTTCTTCTTGGATCCAACCGGGAATCCTAGATAGCTTAATAGTGGGAGTAGTTGACAAGTGTAGGTACAAGATAATGCTGAAAGAAGGGCTCGCCTTGGTTTGGGGTGGGCCTGGAGGACTGAGGAGGTTTCCGAGGAACTAAACAGACGGTGTTTTCCTCTGCTTTGCCATATTTAGGCCACAGATTCTTTTGCCAGTCTTTTCTTCACTGTACTTCACCGATTCCTATTCCCAGTAAAAGTCTAACTAAAAACCCCCAAAAAATACTCTCTATTATCTCTCAAACCTCTGCTAGCTCTCTGCTGCAACAGCTCTCATCACCCTCTCTCTCTCTCTCTCTCTCTCTCTCTCCCTTTTTCCTAAGATCTGAATATATCCATGCGTGTACGATGTTAATACTTGTGTTTGTTGCTAGGCGAACATTTAGCACCAGTGTTATAGAACCATGCAGAGTATGCTACACAGGATTGGCGTAATGCCTCAATGATTCTCTGCTATAGGACCATTTATATCCTGCAATGGAGTTGCAGTGGTTTGGTGCAACTTGTTAGTCAGTGTTGGGCATGTCAATTGGTGGGTTTGGACTAGATCTACTTGATTAAGACTCAGAATCACCAAATTTATCAACACCCGGACCCGGATCTAGACCTTCATGGGGTCTCGAAAACAAAATCTAGATCTACATCCTTGTGGATTTTGGTACGTAATGAGTATCTATAGGTATCTCTAATTGTGTAATTAAGAGGTTTAATTCAAAAACAGCAAAAAAAAAATATGAATTCAAAGATAACTAAAAATGCAGTCCAATTATATTTTCAAATTACGGAATCAATTCAAGAGTGTTGCGTGCAAAAAATATGAACTGAAAGAATGAATTGTGATCAATTTTCATAGAGTATGGATCAGAATAGTATTTGATTTGAAAAATCAAATCCAAACAAGAAGTGCTCCGTTGCAGGATGATAAGTTTGATTAATATCCGACTCGTTAACATGCCTAATCATTAGTTTTTTATTTCGACAATTCTTTTTTTGTTTCTTTTCCTTCCGATTGGAAGACACAGAAATTTTTGAAGAGATGCGCCAACGTGCATTTCTTGACCCAAGGTAACACTCCCTGCACTGGCTCCAAACCGATGCCATCCTCCCTAATCCAATCTTCTCACCTCTCAGCGTTCGATTAGCCATCTGTCAATTTGTTGCGTATTATCTTTTTTTGCACATTTTATTTCACGTGGTTTTTTTTTCATAAGATTACTTAATTCAGCCACTTTATGAAAATTTCCGATTGTTTTAATTTGATAGTGCTGTTTCCAAAAGTACCTGCCAGTTGAAAAAGCGTAGAAGAGTTTTAAGGAGTAGAAGAATAGATGTGCAAATAAAACGAGTCGATCTTGAGCAGTGCATACTTGAACTCGATTTTGACTTAATATAGCACTACTCAAGATTGAACTCGACTGATCGAACTTGAAATTCTACAAATCGAGAACGATTTGTTGATGTTTAAAGATGTTGGAGTTCGACTCATTGGTTCGAACAAACTGAAGCCCAATCGAGCTAGATATATTGAATTCAATTAGAAAAGGAGATATTTTGAAAATTTATAAGAATTTAATGCCTATATATGTAATTTACTATACACAAATATAATATTGTATGTATTATAAATATATTTTTTATATATTGTATGTATTGCTTGATAAGACTCAACAAGCTATCGACCTTAACTAAAAATAATCGATGCTCATTCGTTTGGTTAAACGAGCCATTTGAGATCGACTCAAACTCAGTCAATGCAATGAAACGAGCCGCTTGAGGTCGAATTGAATTCGGTTAATTCTAAGTTAAGTAGATTGTTTAATCGATCAGTTTGTGAGCAGTTCACGAGCCGCTCAATTCATTTACACCTATAAAAAAAGCAATGTGTAAAGAGCTCGAACCAAAAGAACATGTTTGATCTCACAAGCCACTCGATTCGTTTGCACACCATAGAAGAAGCAATGTGTAAAGAGCTCGAACCAAAAGGATACGTTTGGTTTGGAACATAAATCCAGCAATCGACCCTGCTAATAAGCAGAAGCCACGAATTCATGAGTTGTTAAAATTATGTCTACCAACGGATTTGATGGCATCCTAGCTGACAGCCGGACCCTTTTCGGCCCCTTTCTTATTCCCATCAATGTTGAGGTTTGACTAGTATTAAAGACAAATGACTATATGTGCACGAGATAATTCGGTAAGCAACGCAAGAATGTGAGACATCAAAATTCCCTGGAAGAATACTTTTTACTCTTAAGAGTACGCTGAAAATATTCCTGTTAAATCAGAAATATGATGATATCCCACCACGTATGATTAGTTTACTGGCCTTAATTAGGCTTGTGTACAATACAATGTCAATCAATCGCTTGCCTATATTTCATGTTCATCCAAAAAGAACCAGGTGACAAAATATCTGTCCACTAATAATTAACTGATTTGCTGCAGGCAGGTTCTGTCTCACATTAGACTGTGAAAAGTACTAGTATTACGAATGATCATGGAAATTCAAGGGAATAATATCAAGATAATTAGAATTAGAGATGCATGCAAAGGGTTTGACAGCGGAATTAATTGAATGATTAGGCTAACAGGACAATCGGTCGTCCGGTAATACACTAATTACGTAACTTTTCATGCCTGTACACTCGTTAAATGCTTAGTTTAAATTAGTTGCAGGTTTAGCAACTAATAATACTGTAAGACAGTAGTAGTACACAATAATATCCACTGATGGAGGTGTCGCAACTTGCAACATTCTGAAACCCTAGAGGGAGGGAGGGGTGGTTTCTCTGATCAAAAAGCAGAGCAGATGGCAGAAAACACCCATCACTCTCTAATCTCTGTCCTCCGTCACTTCCCGTAGATTCCAGAATGCAAGGGGGCTGGGGGCAAAGGCTTTTACTACAACTTAAAATTAGAACACATGTAGTTCTTGGAATTGATTGGGGTCCCAAAGTTACCACAAAAAAAAAGGCATTATGGCATGATTTCGCACCCGCTTGTTGAGTCCAACTCGAACGTACCTTAACTGGCACATATCATGTCCAAATCATTAACACCATTTCCTTGTTCTCTGGCTTTAAAGGTGGTAGAAGTTTGTACCATATTGGTTATTACATCACTGTACTTTCACTTGAGTTCCTGATAAATCAAGTGCAGGGGCATTCCTTTTTTCGTTTTAGTTTCGTTAATAAAATCAAGCAACTAGTGAAATGAATTGGTGACTCTCACAGCTTGATTGAGTTTGTATAAAGCTGCAGTTCCATGTAGCTGCTTGAAGCAGCTCAAGTTGATTTACTGGAACGGCTGCTCTCTTGTCATAAATGGAATCCTTCCATTTTTTTTGGGGGGGGGGGGGGGGGGGAAGGGGAGGAACCAAAAGCTAGAGCTCAACATTCAAATAGAACCCTTACTATGATTGTTAATGGCTACTCGAAATGCAGTTTCAATACTGACTACACCATTAGATGTACCAAACTTTTGAAGAAAAGTGGGCGTATCAAACTTTTACAGTGACTAAAAGTCGTCCTGTAAAAATTTGAAGTTACACCAGCATCTTCTTCACATCACCAATTTCCGTTTGTGATTGAAGATGGAAGGAGAGTGGGCAGAGATTGTTGAAGCTTCGCAGTGAGGGGGAGTTATTCGGCCCATGGTGACAAATCTCGCGACAACGAAAGCACCTCAAGCATCGCCATCGTCAGAGAAAAGATGTCGCATATTAGTGAGAAAGGCTTCGGTGAGTTGTCGGAATTGCTGAGCCATTCGTGCATGTGTCAACTGTCAAGTGCCTTTGTTTTGTCTCCACCAATGTGAAGACCCGTATTCACTTGCTCATTACCAATTTAATTTATGAAAAATATTTTAATAGCATCACATTCATTGTAAATTGGCACACATTGAACATCAAAAGTTATAAGCATATAATTTTAAAATTTTGTTAATCATTATGTTTTATAGTTTAGGATTTTAAGAATTGGCGAAAAACGTGTAAAAATCAAGAGTAAAAATACTTAAAATACAAAGATAAAAAATATTTAAAAAAATAGTTGCTTAGAGTAATTTGTACTTCTAGCAACTATAATATTATTATGTGTCAGTTTATCAAGTGCCCATCCGCCACTCGTTAAAGTATATTTTAAAAATGTAAGATTAATTAGAGAAAGTAAATAAATACAAAAGAGTAGTGAAGATTAAAGGGAAAATGATCGTTTCATCCTTCACATTTCACAAAAATATTCTTTTCGTCCCTCATTTTTTAAAACGAAGCAATTTCGTCATTGACATTTAAAAATTGAAGTT